CCTGGAGGAGTGTCGAGGATAGAAATCCTCGGACGCTGATTGATTATCGTACGAGGGGAAGAGAGAGAGACGACGAATTATGGCGACGTAGGGACGATGAGATAGACCGAGACCGCAGAGATCGCGAGTTGTTTGTACAAGCAAGGAGGCTAGATGATTACCCCCGAAGCCCTCGCTATGAGGCCGATCGGGGTAGAGGCGACTCCCGCGGCCGATGGGAGAGGGACGGCAGATACGAGAGACCGGACCGAGATGGATATAGGGACGACAGATACGAGAGGTCGGGTCAAGATGGCTACAGAGGAAGTAGATATGAGAGAGGAGATCGGGACTGGGAACGACAAAATGGGTCACGCGGACGGTTTGAGCGCGGGGGAGATGCGAGAGAGCAGCGCGACGAGACGCGAGGATGGTACAACCGAGGGGACCGACGCGATGAGTCACGAGGACGATATGACTTGGGGGACCGCCGGAATGATTCGCGAGGGCAGTATGAGCAAGGAGGGTCTGAAGGAGACCGGCGCAACGATTCGCGCGGTCGGAATAAGAGAGGGGGATATGGTGTCTCATCAGAACCATATCCCAAGTCGCCTGACCCCAAGGCGGCTAGGAATTCGATGTCTAGAGGCGCAGACGACAGGGCGTCTACTCCCAGGAATTCATGCGTCTACTGTAGAGGAGAAGATCAAATCAAGAAGGATTGCCCGGACCTCAAACGAGCAATAGATGAGGGACTTGTCGTGCTTGACGACCGCAAGTACGTCAAATGGGCAGATGATCTGGGAGATGTATCGATGTTYCCTTCGATGAAGGAGAATGTCGAAGCAAGGAGAATAAAGACGAGTAAAGGAATAGAGTCGGTCAGGAGCCAGAGCATCAAGATAATCTTTGAGGGGGATATCGCGACCACACCCATAAGGGTGGCAGCCACCAAGTYGGCAAGAGGGTCTACATCGAAGAAGACTGACACGGATTACATGATGACGGAGAAGGACGGGCAGCGGGTCGATGGAGAGGAGGTTATCCTTTCACCGCGAAAGAGGGGAGTGAAGAAGTTCTTAATGAAGAGTTCGTTGGACGAGATTGACACGGTTGAGCCGCTGAGGCGGGCCCTTCGGCAACCAATGCAGTGTTTTATTCTGGAGTATCTGGCGGCATCGAAGCCGGCTCGTGATGAATTACAGATGATCACGTGGAAGACTCGCATACCTCAATCAGAGGAGGGTCAGGGGGCCCCTAAAGCGGAAGCTTCTACAGTAGCAGTAACAGGGGTGACTGCCAGAGCGGATCGTATGGCGACAGTCCTTCTCGATGGAATGGAAGGTGTGCCTCCAGACAAGTTTCATATACTTGGTAGCGGGGCCGTGGAGACGATTATAAACGATGGAGCGGTACTCGATGCTGTGATTGATAACGGCAGTGAGGCTGTCATCATAGACGAGGACCTGGCGGTACGACTTGGACTGGGCCTCGATAGGTCATACCTATTCGATACAGAGACGGTCGATGGGAGAAAGTAACAGATCACTGGGGTTTGTCATAAGGCAGCCATAGAAGTCCAAGGGGTACGAGTGACCCTGCCAGTCTTTGCAGTCAAGAACTGCAGCTCCGACCTGCTCTTGGGTCGAACGTGGCTGAGCCACGTGCATGCGGTGACGATAGAGCGACTTGATGCGAGCCAAACATTGTCCATTAAGAAGCCAGACGGGACGCGGGTAATGATTGAGACAGTGGAGCCTCGGGACCCGAGGAACAGAGCAGCTCTTGCTG